CATGAAAAATTTCGGGAATTTCGGACGCCATTTCCCCCGCGCGACATCCGCAAAAATCCTCGCAGCATGTACGTGCGTGTGCCGCAGGCGATGGCGCAACTTGTTCTGAAACCCAATACTAGACACGGCGCGCGCTTACGGTCTCCGTCCCCGATTATGGCTCCTGCTAGGGGTTATTATCTTGATGTTCTACTAAATTCTCAAAACAAAATTTCAAAGAAAATCATGGTGATTAGAAAGGAGAATTGCAATGTCTTTTGGAGTCAGGGCCTTACGGTTTAGTAGTAATCAAGCAAGCTTCGCTGCTGTACTGACTTGATAACTGAGTATTGAATTTGGCGTGGTTTCATTTCTAAGTTTCTAAATGCACTTGAAATCCGTAATTATGTTTTTTCCCTTTATATTCCTTAACGTTACTCTCTTTACAAGAGTTAATTCCAACAAATTTGATTTCATTTAGTGTCTTCTGGGAGATAAGTATGGCTACCGTCCGTTTCCGTACAAAATCAAAGCAACAGAGTTTGAGATGTTGTTAGAAGTGGCTCAAGAAACCTACGATCAACCTGAACATATCGCTTTACTCAAAGAATGGTTCTGGAAGGTGAAGTGACTTAAACAAACGCATTTTGCTCAAGTTTATCCCTTTCTTCCCCTTTGCTTGTGAACCCTCTTAATCAGGGAACGGGTGCAGTGGCTATAAATGAACCTGGACAAAATAAAACCAACTTTGACCGTTTCCTCTCGAATGTTTCAAAACGCTGTTTTGGGCTATCTGGAGTGCTCTTAAAGCTCTGTAGGTTAATTTTAGGCTACGCTATAAAATCTTTATCTGTTCGGTCATTAATTACTCTGGGGAACTCGAGTCTTCTCGAATTTATAAGAGCTTCTCTATCCATTGCCCAAATTCTTATTGGCCCTCTGTTACCGTCGCAGAACTGTAGTTTTCCATCTTTAATCGGATTTGACATTACGTGGACATTATATGAAGTACTGAGTAAGAAACGTTGTAACCCGGATGTAAGCACACGGGTTTGGTCGCGTAGAATTTTGGCTTTGTGAAAACTGGTTGGACTTGTGGAATAAATTATGGTCCAAAAAACTACAATTGTTGTTGAATTGAAGTATCGGCATCACTTTCCGACAATCAAAGCTGACCTTTTCTGTCTTTTCTGGTACCCAGAACGACTTTGTAATTAACCAAGCCGAATACAACAGGAATTAAACTTCTCATATCACTAAAGCTCGAGGTGACAATCATCTTAAGAAAAGCTGAAGGAATTAAAGGCATCCCGAACAGATAATTTACCGAAGCTATCCCTCGCGTGGCCATTTTTTGCAAACGACATATTGCACTTATCTTTTAGGACACGAACGCCATCCCGGCGGAATACGTTCTTCAGCCGGTAACATACCGTTTTCCTCACTACAATGATTTAAGTGAGGACAAAAGAGAGTTAAACAAACAAGAAAGAGAACAGTGGTGGCAGATCTTCCAGTCATTCCAAAGACTTTTCAAGAGGACAGCGAAGATCGCTACTGAACAGTGCAAGATTACATTAGAGCAAGCACACAAGTATTTTTCCTCAGGTTTGAGCAGAAAGAGTGTTGTTAACGTTAAGATTGCAAGTGAATACATGAAAGATCGTATATCTGAACTGCGGAGAAAGATATGAAGACATGATTGATCATCGAGTTATATACAAAACTTAGGCAGGTGCCTAAGTTGTGTACATAACTGCGATGATCAATTATGTCTTCATAACGTTAAGATTGTTGTTTATTTTCTATAGTCGCTTGTTTGAGTTCGGTTACATACATTTTTAATAGGCACGAATACTTATGCAATGTTTGATATTTCAGAAAATACCTAAACTTCCACTTTTCTGGAGTTTGTCGGACTCGTCAGCTGAATCGTAATGTCAACAATGTCGAGGGACTGCTGGCTAAATATTTTCAAGGAGTGTTTGCTCATGGTTTTATGAAACAAAAAGAAACCTATTTTCATTTTGATGAAACCTGCCTGAATGTCTAGCAGTGCAAAAGTCTTGTTATAGCGGCTAGCTTTAAGAGTGATCCTTTAAAACAAACCTACTCACACATGTGACATGACGTTTTGCTTTATTTTTAGTGACTGAGGAAGAAGTTGAGCATGGTATTCTTGGCTCTCCAAATCCTGGCGCCCAATCCCTCTGCTACGTACGTCACATCTCGGACATCGAAGTAAAACTCAGCGACAAAAACTCCCGACATTTTACCGACATTTCTCAAGGAAAACACGACATGGAAGCCCAAGACCTATTGAGCAAACTGAAACGTGACCGTGTGCTTCAGAGTCTTGGGGAAAACAACATCACTCGCTTTGAGATCCCGTGGAGCGATGGGGGAATAAACGTGTCCGACAGATTGCACGAAGAATACTTGAACAATTTCTGCCACAAGTTCGAGTCGGACGTGCAGAGATTGATTGACAAAAGCTTGCAGCATACTGTGAAAGAAAAGGCGAAGGAAGGCAGTCTGTATAAAGAAGTTCTTCACCATTTATGGTTTTGCCAAGACAAGTGCGAAGCATTTCGTGGTCGTGAAGACATTTTAGAGAAGATACAAACTTTCTTAAAAGATTTCAATAGGTCAGAGCCGATGGTCATTTATGGCTCGTCAGGCTCCGGCAAAACTTCCGTAATGGCTGCTGTTGCCAAGTCAGCAAGACAATGGCTCGGAGAAGGTACCGTGTGCATCTCTCGTTTCCTCGGTACCTCCCCCGAGAGTTCATCGATTCGATCGACAATTGCCAGCATTTGCCTTCAGATATGTGAAGTATACAGCATGGATGCACCAAAAGCTGACATTCTGGAGGAGTATTCTCAACTAATTCGATTTTTCCACGCCCTGATTGCCAGTTTGCCTGTCAGCAATGTGAGACCATTAGCCATTATTTTGGATTCGGTGGACCAATTATCCCCAACTAACAATGCACACCTAATGAACTGGCTTCCTAAAAAATGTCCACCGTTTATCAAGATTGCCATTTCGGTGTTACCGAATTATCACGACATTCTGACGAATTTACGCCGAAGTCTTCCCATCGAGAGCGCGTACATCGAAGTACCCATGCTGACCATTGAGATGGGAAAGGAAATTTTAGACGCCTGGCTTCAAGGACTCGGACGAACCTTGACAGAGGAACAATTCGAACTGGTTTTATGTAGATTCACTCAATGCCCCCAGCCATTGTTTCTAAAGCTGATATTCACGGAAGCATCGAGATGGGAGTCCTACACAAATGTCCGTGGGCTCGACCTCGGAAGTGACGTTCCCCAAGCTATACGCCTCCTGTTCCAACGCTTGGAACGAAAGCATGGGAAAACACTTACATCCCGTGCTCTCGGCTATATCACCGCTGGTAGAAATGGCCTCACAGAAAACGAGCTCGAAGATGCCCTGTCACTTGACGATGACGTTATCGACGACGTGTACCAGTATTGGGATCCTCCAGTTGAGGGTGTCGTTCGCTTGCCTAACTTACTGTGGGCACGTATTCGGCATGACATAGACGAGTTCCTGGCCGAGCGACAGGCGAATGGGAAGACCGTAATTGCCTGGTATCACCGTCAATTCTGGGAGGCTGCGCAAACACAGTACTTTTCAGATCCCAATGAAAAGCAGTCCAGGCATTCTTTACTCTCCGAATATTTTCAAGGTAGGGTATAGATGTTTTAACCCTTTTAGGCCAAAAGCAGCTCATGTTCACTTTATTGGTGTCTTCAAAAGATTTTGTAACACCGTATGTATTTGTAGTCATGAAAATAAAGCTAGTTGCTGTTAATTGTACTGGAAGGGATAAATTATGACATTAACGCACATAACTGTTCAGCTTACGTTATTCATTCATTCAAATTTTCACAAAGAGATCAAAGGCATCTGTAGAATAAGACACTTTTTGGAATAGGATCTCTTCCAAGAATTGTCTGCGGCTGCTGGCCATTAATTCGTGAAAACCACTGCTTAGCAATATAACGTCTCACTGTGAAAAGCTGGCGTGCTCAGTCGACGTATTCTTGTCTGATAAGAAACGCAAGGTCTGGACCGGGTATCTTCTGCTGCTTCGACTCTACCCATCGATTGAGATTCTGTCTTTAACATGATGTGGAATGATCGAGTCATTTGATTTTCTGGCATAAATTTAGCATATCTCTGCTTATGTAATTTCTTCTCAATTCGACTACTGTGATATTCTGCTGAGATCTAGAACAACTGTTGATGGTATTGAACCCAGTCTTCACAAGTAAGGGGAAAAGGGTTGAGTCGATACCTCTTCGGTCAATTTTTGTCGTGATGTACTCGATTAGTGCGATGCGCAAAGGTCGTCATCGACACGTTTTTCTGAATACTGTTGGTACTAGCAAGATTACGCTACAGTTACCACAGATACTTTTGGTTTCATAACATTTAAAAAGGTTGTTTTTGTTGGTTTGCAGGCAAATGGGGTGGAGGACGCAAGAAGCACATCACTCTAACTCGTCGAAAGAAAACGCTAGCAGACGCAGACCGACAAGTTTCCAGTCAGCCTCTGATGTTCAGTAAGCGTGTATTTAACTTGAGGAAGCTCAGCGAGATGCCGTTTCACCTTATTCACTCTGGGCACGCCGACAGACTGGCCAGGAAGGTATTGTTTAATTTCGAGTGGATCTACGGGAAAGTTCGCGGCCAGTCGTTAAATGAAGTTTTAGAGGACTATTCTCTTGCTTTGGAAGTGAGACCAGATCTGGATGTGAGGTGCGTCATGGTTTGAGCATTACAAATATGTTTTATATATGTTTACTGCATGATCAGGCGCAGAAGACTTTTAATTTCGCGTCACGTTCAAGAAGTGATCACCTTTGAATTTCTCCCTACTGTACAATTACATTGGTTATATGGGAAGCAGACATAAATGTAGGAAATCATCAACAGGAGGCGTTACAGTTGTATGTTAAGTTCCCAGCACACTCTCAGCAATAATATAAAAAAAAAAAGCTTGGTTGGGGAAGGGGATTCCAATCCATAGCAAATAGGGTTACATGCGTCTAATCCTATCTATTTCATTCTTTTGACGGACACAAATGGAAGATGAACTGACCTCTTCCCAAAGTACAGTGTAGCCGCCTTACGACTACCCTGATAAATACGCTCACATCTGTACTTAGAGATTTTCTTATTTTGAGAACCTGTTAAAGACGGCTATAATGTTATGGTTCAAGTACATGTCGATCTTTCCGGTAGTACACTACTGCATTCAAGTTTTTCAGGCTTCTTTGTTGACTCATTCAAGAAGCGTGGGAAGGGTTGATTAGGGTTATTCTTTGAAATTAATAGCAGCATTATTATCATTATGACAAGGCTGATCTGCGACACTCTCATCCTCGCTTCGAGTAACATCAAACATGATGTGGACTGCCTGGCCACTCAACTCCTGGGAAGACTTCTCGCCTTCAGGGAGCAGTTTCCACGGATTGACGGCCTCATTACACAGTGCTATCGATGGTGTTATGCCCAGCAATCTCCTCTCTTTATTCCTCAATCAGCTTGTCTAATCTCTGCTGGCGGACCGCTGAAAACCAATCTTCGAGGGCACGAGCAGCGAGTCAACGAGATCGCAGTCACAAATGATGATAAATTCATTGTCACCTCGGGCGAAGACTCTCGCATTAACGTGTGGAACAGCACTAATTTGGACTGCCTGCACACCCTGAAGATGGTCGACATGGGACCCAGCTGTCTTGCTTTGACGCCAGATGACAATTACGTCATTGGTTCCGCCAAGTCAAGCGTAGAAGTGTGGGACATCGATTCTGGAGAAGTCGTACAGCGGTTTGACAATGATGGGGTGGTCACGTGCTTGGCCACTACTTCTGATGGGGCTCGTGTTGTGACTGGCGGAGAAGATGGTGTCGCTCGGGTGTGGCACACAGTAAGCGGAGAAAAAGAGAAAACACTGAGTGGGCACGAAGGTAAACTTGCATTAATAGTAGTACTTAATACTGGAAAAAAAGTCCTATAAGATCCAACTTTATGATGATTTTGCAAACGGAGAAATACGGTCTGACGTCCTAGCCAAACTATGCGAGCCTCTGACTTTATCCAAGTTTTACTACGTTGTAATTCCGTCTTCATTTGCACAGCTACTACATCCTTTTTTACTGCTACACATAACTACAACAAATTGTAATTCGTCTTGAAGGTCTAAATTTAATTAAGACTATCCTAAGCATTCGAAATTAAATTGAACTTACTTATCTTTGTCTTGAAACTACTTAGGACCAATCAACGCCGTCGTTGTATCTCCGAGCGGTGACGTAATCACCGGCTCTAAGGACAGCACGGTCCGCGTGTGGTCGCTAACTACGGAAGAATGCCAAGCTGTGTACGAGGGCCATGCTAGTTCTGTTTTGTGCCTGGAATTGACACGAGACGGCGAGAGTGTGATATCAGGCTCGGAAGACAAGACTGTCAAAGCCTGGCATCTAAAGACAAAGAACTGTGCTACACTCAAAGGCCATGGAGGTAAGCACCACTCTGTCTTAAACTAAACTAAGCACGTGTCGCTTTGTAAGGGGAGATTCTTAGGAACATGACGTATCCTTAACGCGTGATGCTGACGTGACAACTTGCGGAGTCCGCGCAAGGTTTTGGAGAGAAGAATAGTCCGGATCTTCGAGTTCTTGAATGAAGGTTTGCCAAAAGATACCATGATTTTTTTGTTGTGGATCCAAAGACCAGTGATAGAGGTTATGTCTGTGTTAAAATCAGTGCTAGGCTTTCACAGCTTGTTCATGTGTTTAGCTATACGCCTGAAAAGAAATTCAATGACAAACAGAAAGATGTTCCGCGGAAACCAACGGTCAATGCACCTTGACTTAAGTTAGACAAGTTACAATATCCTGCATGTGTTCTAATTTTTGCGCTATTCCCTGTAACTTTACTTTTCTATTTGAATGCAAAACATCATGAAGGGGTAAGGGACGTTACATTATGTCTATTTACAGGTCTGATCAAATGTTTGGCGGCTTTGAATGACGGTCGAAGAATTGTGTCTGGATCAAAAGACCAGTCGCTGAAGATCTGGGACCTCATCTCTCTTCAATGCTGCGTGACTCTAAAAGGTCACACAGACCTTATTTGGCGCGTTGCCGTTGCCTCAAACGACAGTTTTATTGTGTCTGCCTCAAAAGATGACATGTTAAAAGTGAGTCCTTTTTACAATTTCTTGGCTATTTTTCCACTGTCAGGTTTTTTTTTCACTTAGGCATCCATTTCCCGGAATGGTGTGCCAGAATTTGAAGTAATACTAATTTTAACCTGCTCGAATTCTGGTTTCCCCTCATTTCATGTACGATAGACATCTCTATGTGATGTTCCCATTCTACAGCTCTTTTGATCTACAAAACAAAACCAGAGAAGTTATATTGACAGAATACGATCATGAAATGAAAGCCAGTTTGAAATAACAGCTGTCGAACATTTACAATTACAAGCGAAACCATTGGTACTCTTCTGGTGAGAGAGTTTTCCGGTGACTTTTTACTTTCGAGAAGAAAGGCTGGTGCAGATGTTTTGGTGAGCGCCACACAACAGCGATGCCGGTGATCTATCACGTCCTGGCAATGACATAGATGGTTGGTTCTCGCCTGGTTTACGGGTCTTAATCAATTCTCCCAAAATGAATGAGATTTTGAACAGCTGACGAGGAGCCATGTGAAGGTCTTAAATAAATTCCTTTTTACTTTCATTTAATAGTCGTTATCCAATTTTGTCTCCAAAGGTCTGGGATCCAGTCACAGGTCAATGTCAGCAGACCTTAATTGGCCACTCATCGTGGATCTCTTGCGTTTCCATAACAACGGATTGCAAAACGATCATTTCTGGTTCAAATGACAAAAACGTCAAGCTCTGGAACGCCACTGGAAATGAGCATGCTCAGAGCATCTCAACACCGAGTGATCACATCCTCCATCATGCTACACAGCCTAATTGTGTCGCCATAACAACGGACGGGCGCTGGGGCCTCTCTGGATCAAAAAGCGATTCTTTGAAACTGTGGGACATCGCTAGCGCGAAATGCGTCAAAAGTAGCCCTGGCTCAATTGCGTACATTGCTGCCATGCACAGATCCCCCCAAGTGGTAACTGGTTCACACAATGGCGACATTACTATGTGGAATTGCGACAGTTTGGAGGTGCAGCAGACTGTTAAAGCTCACCAAGGTAGTGTAATGTCGCTGCAAGTCTCTAAAGATGACAGTTTTATTGTCTCTGCATCAAATGACAAGACAGTTGGGTTGTACCATATTCACGAAGGTCAGGTAGTACAGCTTGTTGGCCATACCGATGCAGCTGTCTGCATGTCTCTTATGAAGGGAGAAAATCTTGCGATCTCAGGTTCTAAAGATAAAACTGTTCGACTGTGGAACCTGCAGACGAAGAGCTGCGAGAGGATATTTGAAGGACACACTGGAGTTGTTGAATGCCTGGCATCAACTAGCGACAATAAAACTATAGTGTCGGGCTCGGGAGACTTCACACTTAAAATCTGGAATATTGAAAAAGGCGACTGCCTGTTCACTTTAAAAGGACACAACGACTCGATAAAATGTATAGGAATAACCGATGACAACCAGTTTGCGATTGCTGGTTCTCATGAAGGAAAGGACCAACTCCTGCTATGGAACCTAAAGGATGGGAACTGCGCTCGCAAGCTCACCGGTCACACCCACGCAGTGATGCGCCTCAAGGTCCTTCCAAATAACATGATGGTCACAAGCTCACGTGACGGGACCATAAAACTGTGGAACATTCAAAGTGGAGAGCTCATCAACTCTTTTGATTTTCAGTCCCAAGTCAAGTACTTTGACGTCCACCGGGCTGATGACGGTTATTCGGTGATTCTGGTCACCAAATCTGGGACAGTGTCCATTCTGAAACTTCCTATCTCCAACAAGGAAACCGAGGAAAGTTTCTCATCAATTAAGAATTCTACTCCCGAGAATGTAGAAAGCTCTGCTGCCAAAGCAACACCTACACAAAGTGGTTGCTGTGCCAGTTATCGCTGCTGTAGGTGCTGCCAAAAATGCACTGTGTTTTGACTAAAAGACTACTACACAAACTGGTTAATGGATATCAAGGGAAAAAGCTCTTCTGATGAAATGATTCGTTCGAGATTGAGTTTTATCAGCAAAATATTTTGCTTCAATTTAAACTAAGTATTTCAAACAGTTCTACAAGTACCGTTTTTGCTTTTTAAACTGCATAAAGGTGTTTTAAGTATTCTTTTGGCACAAGATTGTTAGCAGGAATTTGTTAACAAAAGTAGCATAATAACAGACTGCAAAAATTACTTCGGATTTATATGCTGAAAACTAAATCAGCTGCATTTTTTTTT